CTCATATTGAGTTATACTTATTATAAAACTCTGTGTGTGTGTGTGTGTGTGTTCCGTTTATATATGGGATCGGATTTCCTACATTTTTCAACCGATTTCAACAAAACTTCACTTTTTTTTTGGAAGGTAGTGTTTTTATTGTCTTGCACACTTTTTTCTTTATTTTTACATACAGAATGCTTTAAAAATTCCATTTACAAGACAATTGTTTATAATAAAACCCTATTTAATCGGTAGACTCATAAGGATTGAAAACAATGTGTTTGTTTGAGTTTGGGTTTGACCAATTCATAAAAAAAGAAAAAAACTAATTAAGACATGCGTGTCCATCAACCTTAAACAATAATCTTTGTCAATTTTATTTTTCAGTCTTTATGATGGTCGATACTTGATCTATCTCTTACTGTTACATCCCCGGGCAACGCCGGACTCTACTGGTAGTAATATATAAATTCTAACGTTCACAGCATTAATCCAAAAGATGGCTCGATACCGATAGTAGAGCAATAATTATTTATTATAATTTTTTTTCATATAGACAAAAACAGTTTACTCACTACAAAGATGTAACTTCGTTTCGGTGCATTTCAATTTCACCTCGACTGGTGAGAATCAAAACTAGTTATGAACAATTCTGTTTGTAGGCAAGTCGTATGTGAAACGTCACTTTCTTTTTTTTTCCATTTGTTTGAGAAAAAATATACATAAAACATAAAGCATACATATGTGTGTGTGTATTTATATATATACATATATATATATGTGTGTGTGTGTATGTGCGCATGTTGTTTGGACCAAGAAATCAACATTGCATGGTGACTGTCAATTTCACGCCTTATTGCTATCATTTTGCTCAACAGGAATGAAAAAAAAGAAAAAGAAAAACTAATTAAGACATGCGTGTCCGTCAACCTTAAACAATAATCTTTGTCAATTTTATTTTTCAATCTTTATGATGGTCGATACTTGATCTATCTTTTACTGTTACATCCCCGAGCTCTACTGGTAGTAATTAATAAAACACATTGGGTGCAATTGGATATTTCATAACATCAAACAGGTGGGAAAACTGTAAAAAAATAAAAGCAATGCCTTGCATTCATAAATATCATTTACCTCGAAAAGACGACTTTTAATGTAGTAATAAAAGGTAAAATTATTCTTTAAACTAAGTTTCATAAAATCGTATGAAATAAAAACTATATTTTCTTAAATTATTTTTTAGAAAATTTAAAGATAATTCACTTTGAAACATAAATATCAATATCTTGATGTTGCAATGCTGGTGTCCTGTTTTTCCTTAATTTTGAGTTTTAGTTTTCGCACAGTTACATGTCACAGGTGTAAATATACAGATTTTATTTTTAACCTCTGACCTCGCAGGCTACAGCGCATAAATAAACGTTATTTTCATTATGTTTTAAGAGAAAAACGCAAGCATTGCTTTTACAAAATCTAATAAATTAGATATTAAATTTACCAAATGACATCAAAACCTATATCTAGGATAAATATTGGATTTTGAATAAATATTTAAATTTGTTGTTTACATTTTTAATCTATAACGGCGACTCTATGAGTGTCGAGCGAAACGAGCCAATGTTTTAAAAAGACTTAAAACTTTATTTATTGCAATTCAATTTGAAATCTTTATCTTTTTATAAAAATCATTCATTAGAATTAATTATTCTTTTAATTAAGATTAGCATTATGTTATTATCTTTCGAATAGAAAGGAAATTTAACTTCAAAGAAGGAATTTAACTTATTTAAATTTCATTTTTCGGGTTTTCCAATAGATATCGCTTAGTTAACGATCGAAGAGTAACGATCTAAAAGCATTGATATAAAGAATTAAGATGAAACAAAAACTAGTCGGAAATCAGTAATATTAATAATAATAATATTAGGGTTTTGGTTCCAAAATTAGGCTTCCTATTGGTTGGCACCACCCACAGGTTCCTCCGCAGACAGCATTGATCACTTCATTGGTGGAGGAGCGATAAAAAGAAATTAACGGTTTGTAACCGTAGGCTACCCATTTCACCTGGAAAGAAAAAATATAATAAATTCAATAGCCTTTTTTTAAAATCTTTTAAAATTTTTATCGAATACAGTCAAAAAAAAAAAAAAAAAAATTGCATATTTTGTTTGTGGTGATTCATAATTAGAATTCTAGTTCTAATATTTTTCCATTGAATGTATCCAATGCATTCAATGTATCCAATGGAAAAATAAGCAATTTTATTTGTATTTATTATGGTTATCTCATGGCTTCTCTATTTTCGAAAATATTGAAAGAATTCCTTACCGATGGCGAAACAATTAAACCTGTTCCTTGCAAGTCAATCTTGAGAACTCCTTTCCGGGGACGACATGAAACATCTAAGCAATCACCAGTTACGCCATAATCGAGTTGGACAGAACAAGTTCTTGATGTACTTAATCGTTCACGTGATATTCCCAGAAGACTCGGTTCACAACTGAATTTGCTAAATGTTCTATCAGTCGCTATTACCCGTAAAGTCTACAGGAGAAGGAAAAAAAAAAGAAAGAAAACATAATTAAGTCTTGATTAATGGTTACAAATATTATTGACTCTATTCTAAATCTTTAAAAATCGTATTTAAAGTGTGCTTTGAAAAAGGAGGGTCGATTGCTCGTAATGTGGACATTGTTGATGACAAATCATTTTAAAAATATAACTTTCCACAATTTAAAAATACAATAAAAAAACAGCTGGCAATATATAGAATCAGAAATTGAAGAATGAGCATTTAAACCGTTTATGATAAATTTTCAATCAATACAAGGCACAAGAGTCACTCGGGTAGAGAATTACTGAATAGGATTGCTGTACAGCTGTGAGAAGTAGATTATGATGATATGTAGTTTAGACAACCGTTGACCCTAGATGTTGTAGAGGTTAAGAATGGATTAATTATGACGATCAATAATTCTCTGAACCTTAAGGGATTTAGCGATATCATGTACTGTAGGCATATACTGTAGCAGAAGTAGAGTTTTTTAGATTCGCGTCACAGCTGATTTTGGTAAAAGGATATATCGATCACAATTGCCCGTAAAGTCTACAGAAGAAGAAAGAAAGAAAGAAAGAAAGAAAGAAAGAAAGAAAGAAAGAAAGAAAACATAAAGAATTCTTAATTAATGGTTTCAAAGATTATGACCACAAAAGGTGGGGGTGGTAAGAGAGAGCGTAACAGAGAGAGGGAGAAAGAGAAAGAGTAAGAGAGAGAGACAGAGAGAGAGTAAGAGAGAGAGACAGAGAGAGAATAAATATAAATAAAGGTGATTAACATATAAAGAATTCTTAATTAATGGTTTCAAAGATTATGACCAAAAAAGGTGGGGGTAGTAAAAAAGAGCGTAACAGAGAGAGAGAGAGAGAGAGAGAGAGAGACAGACAGACAGACAGACAGACAGACAGAGAGAATAAATATAAATAAAGGTGATTAACTTATAAAGAATTCTTAATTAATGGTTTCAAAGATTATGATCACAAAAGGCGGGGGTGGTAAAAGAGAGCGTAACTGAGAGGGAGAGAGTGAGAGAGAGAGAGTGAGCGAGAGTAAGAAAGAGAGAATAAATATAAATAAAGGTGATTAACTTATAAAGAATTCTTAATTAATGGTTTCAAAGATTATGACCATATTCCATATCTTTAAGTGCAGAAGTGATGTGCCTTGCACAAGATTGTCTAACGGAGCCCAACCATTTCTAGGCTCATAGTCGGAAATATAATACTTCAACCAACCAGGTGGGGGTGGAGAAAAAGTGAAACAGGGAGAGGGAGAGAGAGAGTTTGAGAGAGAGAGAGAGAGAGAGAGAGAGAGAGAGAGAGAGAGAGAGAGTAAATATAAATAGAGGCGATTAACTTACAACAAGCTCCAGACGAATCTTTTCATAAAATATAACACCTGGGTTATTTATTGTCCAATTGATGACATCACAAGTCTTATAATAAGGCGGTAATATTGAGAAATTGTCGTGAATGAGCGTTATATAATCCCGAGGATATTTTGAGTTCATGTCGTGGCAATAAACTTTGAGCGAAGAATTCCGATGCAACACCGGCCTGACCATATACTGACCGTCTGAACTGGCGTTGGTGCAGATTTTGATATCTCGACAGCTGGTCAAATCTAAGAAACAAAGCATATTATTAGAGACAGAATACAATGCCAAGAATTTGCACAAAATATCTAATTTTTAATATAAAATTCAAATAAATGCAAGCAGGGAGAAGGTGAAAGTTCCAAAGAAAAGTGTCCGGAGTCAATAAAACCGAACAAAATGAATGTGGCAATCTTACATGAAGGAAAGAATAAACAGATGAAAATACGTGCTCCACGGTAGGATGTATAAATCTACAAATGGAAAATTTGGTCTCAAAAATGAAAATGAGAATATGTGAGTGAGGACAAAGGACAATAAGAAAACAGGGCTGAGGAAGACAGAAGATGGATATGGCAATATGGTTAATTCTAAGAAAAAAAAATACTTTAGGGTCAGCAAACACAGCCAAGAAATGGCAAAAATATTTAATTTTAAATATAAACATTCAAAATACAACCCGTTAAAAGTGATGAAGCAGGTGCAACAATATGGCAACTGAAGTTGAAACAGATTTTAAGTGAATGTACTCACATGGAACATATACGACACAATTAATACAAGAATTAATGGTTTCAAAGATTATGAAGGTTATTGTTCAATTGATAGCATTACAAGATCCATAATAATAAATTTTGAGTGAAGGGTTCGTGCCCATAACCGGCCTGAACATATAATGATAATCTGAGCTGGCGTTTGTGCAGATTTTGATATCCTGACAGCTGGTTAATTCTAAAAAAAGTAAAAGCACTTTAGGGTCGGCAAACAAAGCCAAGGAATAGCACAAAATATTTCATTTTAAATCTAAACATTCAAAATAGAACCCGTTAAAAGTGATCAAGCAGGTACAACAATAAGACAACGCAAGTTGAAAAAGATTTTAAGTGAATGTACTCACATGGAATCTGGACGACTCAATTACTAAAAGAAAACCACCAGGTGAAAATTTTTTGAAAAACTGTCATCATAATGGCATACCTTAAATAAACAGGTGCATAACAAAACATATAACAACTTAAATAGATATTAAACAAATGATATATCAATAAAATATCAGTTGAATCAGAAAGCATAAAATTATATACAAAATATACGTAGCTGAGGGTATAAATCTGAGTAGAAAATATTTCGAATTTAGAATTTAATAACCCATAGACGGTAATAGGCCGTTAAAGAGAAACAACGAAATGACAACTAAACTGTGCCATTCGGAAATATAATATCTAATCTCTTATGTAGCAGTGAATGCTGGTCAATCTCATCATGCATTTAATAAACTAAGCAAAGAATTAACAGATAGAAAAATCTCAGTAGAAAGAAAAAGAAAGTGTGCTGAACTGCAATTTAATATCTAATCTCCTATATGACAGGGAATGCTGGTCAATCTCATCATGCCTTTAATAAACTAAGCAAATTATTAACAGATAGGAAAATGTCGGTAGAAACAAAGAGAAAGAGTCCTGAACTGCAATTTAATATCTAATCTCCTATATGACAGTGAATGCTGGTCAATCTCATCATGCCTTTCATAAACTAAGCAAAGAATTAAGAGATAGGAAAATCTCGGTAGGAACAAAGAGAAAGTGTGCTGAACTGAAATTTAATATCTAATCTCCTATATGACAGGGAATGCTGGTCAATCTCATCATGCCTTTAATAAACTAAGCAAAGTATTAAGAGATAGGAAAATGCCGTTCGAAACAAAGAGAAAGAGCGCTGAACTGCAATGTAATGACCTATATTCCAGTAAATGATGGTCAAACTTCTTATGCCTTTAATGAATAAATTAAATTATTACGTATTAATATAGTATTAAGTACTTAATTTAAATAAATTATTAAGAGATCGAAAAATTCCGTGAGAAATATAGAGTGCTGAACTGCAATGTTATAATATAAACTCCTATATGCCAGTGAATGCTGGGCAATCTCGTCATAACTTTTATCATCTCAGCGAAATATTAAGAGATAAGAAAATTCCTTTATAAACAGAGACAGAGACCTGTTTTTGAAGTCATATATTTGCTTTCAAATTATTTTAAGTTCAGCATTAAATAACCTATAGACATTTCTGTGGCGCTAAACTAAAACAATCATTCAATCAAACAAATACTGATTAATGTCTGAAATAATGCGCAGATAATGGAAAATCTAACAACGTGGCTATGGCAATCATACATATTAAGGGAGAAACCGAAAAAAAAATGAGTGATGATAAAGGACAATAAAAGAACAGATTTCAGGATGATAGGATTTTTCGATTGATGTTGAATCTAAAGTTTTGAAAATCGTAATTGACTGGGATGCTAGGAGCTGCAAATGAGTTTGTAGGCTCGTCTTTTTCCTACCTAACTTCCCTAGCAACAGAACAGTCTATATCTTACGCCTACGTACGGAAGACTTCAACCAAGAAAAACCGTACTAGGCGAATCAACCAATCTCATTGGTTAATGACACAATAATCTGAAAGTTCACGTGCAAAAACGAAATTGCGCCAAAACTCCGTGAGCCAATTTCGGACTTTCAGGACTTATAAAAGTAAACGCCGACTGCCCCAAGCAGTCAGTAACGAACACCCACAGAGAAATTGCCAACATACTCCACGTCACTCAAAATCGCTATTTTACCGCGCAAAGGTACATCAACGCTGACTCACTCACAATTAAAACTCAACCAACTCTGTGGACATCTATTCTTAAACATTGCTTATCTAAAGTGAATTATATTCACTACCTATTAAGTAACATCAATGTGCGAACGACCTTAAAAAACATTACAGTCAAAGGTAGATCACCCTTAAGAACTCCTTCAAAAAAAGACACTTAATATTAACAATTCTAATATCAACACAAACCTAAAACGGACTGCAAATGAACGAACGATTACAAAGAGAGACATTCTGAAATCTAAAACATCATACACATTTTGCCAACATAACATATACCAATTATCCTGCTTGTATATTGTTTCGAATTGTATATAAATGTTATATTAGTTTCTAATTGAATATGTCTTGTTCTTAATCGTATTTTAAATTTCGTTTATTTATTTGTTGTGGATGCAGAAAGTCACGCAACCTACACAAATTCCTTCTGATTCTTTCAAGCATAATTAATAAATTCTGCACGTCCCCAACAAGTTCATCAGGCGAGAAGTCTGAGAAAAGCAATTATATAACAGAACCTACAGTTTCATTTGGCTATTTCAACAATAAATCGATGATACAATATTTGCCAGTCTATTACTACTCAGAACTACATGGGAGTTTGAGTTAAAAAGAGGAGAGCTTTGTTTAGGATAGACTTGAATTCTCCCCATTCTGTTTCTATCTAGGAAAGATATACAAATATAGTTATATATATAGTTATATATAAATATATGTGTCTGTGTGTGTGTGCGCTCATAGCATCTCTATAGCAGTGTCAAATGCTTCAAGTCTCATCTTGTTCTCTACTTTAAATTGTGAGGAACGATGCTCGTTTAAAACCGTCAATATTGTTGTGTCCATAAAAATAAATAAAAAATGAATCGTACTGTCATTTCTTTTGTGTTCCATAAAACAATAAATAAAAATTAGTTATCGTATCAAAAATAATTCTAATAAAATAATTATAACAATTATAGTTATCATTAATTAATTCTTTCTAAACGAATCAGAATCAACCAAACTTTTCTCCTCTACACGCACAAACAAGTGGAAAAGTCTCGATCGTACAGGCCGTCAACACGTGGGCTGGGAAAAGATTCGGCTCCTTTTCTTTCTTGGGCCACAATGGTAAAATTTGTCTCTTAAGACTCAAAGAAAATTCGAGGTCAGAAAACTCCGGACATTTATTTTCCATCTAAATTATCTGGATACTAAATACACACATTATATAAAAAAAGAAACATAGAGAAACCTGTATATAAGTTATCCCTTCGTTATCTGATCATTCTATCGGATTATGATCCATATTTGATTCCAACTCATAATTTACTCGGTATTACTTTCTCTAGTGTCACCGACATCACAAAATCACTCGTTTTGTTGTTTCCACTCGTCTTGTTTCCAATTTTATAATAGTATTTATATATATATATATATATATATATATATATATATATATATATATATATATATATGTTAGGGGATTTATAATTAATTACTAAGGATGACAACACACCTACAGAGTATATAATGTTGTTTATGCATTCAGTTGAAATTCATATTAAATGTTCATATTCCCCATACCATCTTTTTTGCCAATCAATTCAATCATTAATATTTAATCTTGCCAGGGATCTTTATGCAAATACCTCACTTCAGCAAATATGTGATGATGAAATTTTTCAAGTATTTTATTAACTCTATTATTGCTTCTGTGATGTTGTCAATCTTGAAATTGCTTCAGTTTGAGCATCTCTTCTACAATCTCAAATGCTTCCTGATTACGATTTATCCTGTCAAGATCGACATTTGTTTCAGATTGGATAATATATAAACATTGTTTTGCCTGGAATTGAAATTCAATTTAAGGTTCTGTCTATTCAAATATTGTTGCTTCATTTTTGTGGGATCAGACACCTTTCTCTTTATGCAATACTTCACTTGAAGACGAACTACGGTAATTATCATCTTCAGCAAGTATCGCACAATGTTGATTTACTGTGTACACGATCAGCTATACATATTTGTTTATAATGGTAAACATAGTCCAGTCATACTGGTTTTTATTACACTCATCAGCGCGTACCGACTAAAAGTATTCCACTTGTAGTCACGATTGTTCTAAAAAAACAAACAAACAAAAAACAAATAATAAAAAGAAACAAAAAAGCAGGGAGGATTATTGATTTTCTTTCGAAGAGGGCAAATACAACAAAAGTTCGATTTAATGTGGGCTTCCATATTCACTATGTGTGAACAAAGACCAAAATTTCCCAGCCGTTCTACCAGTGGAATAATGGCGTCAAGGAAAACCGATGGTCTAA